AGGAAGGAAGGAAGGAAGGAAGGAAGGAAGGAAGGAAGGAAGGAAGGAAGGAAGGAAGGAAGGAAGGAAGGAAGACACCTGTCTCTATTGCAATGTCTCTAACACTATTGCAGTGTTTCAGTTCACCACAAAAATATGCAGAATAAATAACATCCTATAGCACATGGCTAGAGATTGTATATATACTTTCTTCAAAGTAAGCTTGCTTACCAATAGATTGCAAATCCTATTGATCATTACATTCACAAAAGGCATAATTTCACAACCTGATCCCATGAGGAAAGTTTCACAACCCATCAACCTGTTTCATCACACAGAAAGAAAAATCAGCACCTTCCAGATATTACAGATGTGGAAAAGTGCATTTAAAAGCATCTCAAGGATATCAGATTCCCTATCCCAAGATTATAAATTACACTTATTTACAGTTCACTATGTCAAGGTATCACTGACCCATAAATATTCAATGAATTCATGGCAAAGAATACCAGTTATATATCCTGAATCTAAAACCAGCTCTTTAACCATTGGGTTATTAACCACCAGATTAATAAATATCTGTGTTGTGATCTGTGTTCTGATCTGGTTGGTGATTTGAATCAGATCAAGGATTAGAAGTATTCATTCCATGGCAGACAAAAAACAGCATGTTTCATGGTGTTTAGGAGTTAAGAAGTTTGAGCAGGTAAGTTTCTAGAAAACAAATACGTTATTTTTATCCACATTATACTACAGTAGCAAGATAAAAAGGGGTCTACCTTCATAATCAGTATGTGAATTTGTAGGCTGGTTATCCCAACAGAACCAGCTATAAGTTACGTATGCACTACTCAGTTTCATTTGGAAACCTGTAGATGCTAGCTGCTTATGAAGTAAACCATTCACAACAGTGGATGTATTGGGCCAGCATCCAGGAATCTGGAGATTTTTAATTGCTGGACACAAATATAGAACATAAATAAAGACCAAGACATTTATCATTATTTACTAATTTAATTTGAAATAAAAAAACATGGAAGCACTTTAAAAATGGCAATTGACCTTGAAGGGCAAGAGATACAGTATCCATTCAAAAGGAGGAAGGAAAGAATAGGAAAGAAATTGACCCATAAAAAAGGGAAGACTCCTTTGAGATGACCTTCACTGCCAATGACTTAAAAGACACATTGTGTAATTTTTTTGGAAACAATAGAAGCATTTGCCATTGCCATATTCTGTGATGTTTTTCAACTTCTGTTTAGCCTATTGCCCTGAATTTTCTTGATTGTCTCCTATCCAAGTACTGGACATCTTATCCTGCTTAGCCTTTTTTGAGATCAGCCAAGATCAGCCAGGTGCTGTCATCTCAATGGGCCCCTAGATATGTCCAATCCTAAATCACAGCCTTCAGTATAGCCTACAGCAAGTGACCTACCACATTCCACTGATAATCCTTTCTTGCTGCCAATTTTTTCTGCAAGTCTGGGAGAAAGGGAAGCCTCTTTCCCCCCTCCACATAGCCCTACTTCCAGAAGTCATCCATCCCACTCCACATTTGTGTGGCAATAGTCAGTTTATTTTTTTGACAATCAATATGACTGATAATTTTATATCTGGTGTCTGCTTGCCTCAAACAAAAGTGTGCCCTGCTTCCAAAGCCTTTCCTTGGAGATTTCCGATCTAGGTACTAATCAGGTCCAACTACATTTGGCTTCCAAGGACAACTAGGTGCTGCTACTTGCTAAGACGGTAACTGATCCATGCAACAAAATAAACTCTCATAATTTAATATAAGATATGAACAATTAGTTTTGGGTTTGATTGAGAAGCCTTTTTTTTGTTATTTATATTTTAAGTGGGCTAACCTAGCAATGGTTGAGGTTTTCTTTGGGGTGGGAATAGTGAAAAAAAAAATTATTGACCTCAGATAAGCAGTTGTATCAAAGGAACACCAATCAATCTTATGGAAACACAAGACAAATAGAAACTTGGAAACTGTATATACTCTTGACTTTTAATAGAGTTATATTTCTGATATGTACTTTATAGAATAGAACATGTCACAAGGATATTCTCATCTAGACTGAGTTCCCACATCACACTAAGCCAAATCAAGCAAGTGTTTTATCATGATTTGTGAACCTAAAAGGTTTGATAGTTTGTACTGTATGGATGATTAGCATTTTATGTTAATCAGGCAGCTATGGCTTATCCAACAAACCATGGATAAAACAAACTATGGATCAGTAAAACCTGTGAATGGTCTTTTCTGTGGTCATGATTACTGAGAAATTATTAGGTTTTCAGATGACATAAAATTTGTTGAGAGCTAAATAGAAATAAATTTCAAATTGATCTTGATAGGTCAAATAATCTGGTGGTAAAAAAATAAAATTTAACAGAGACAAAGGTGAAGTTATGCATTTAGAAAGTGGAACTCAAATGCACACTTATAGGATGGAAGATATTTGACTTGGTACTAGTATCTCTGAAAAAACATCAATAATTGTTGATTGGAAACTATGACACAGCAGTGTGATGTTAAAAAAAAAAAAAGGCAAATATCATTTATATTGCATCAGCAAAAGTTTAAGTTTCAAATCCCAGGAAGAAATAGCTCCACCCTTTACGAATTCAGAGAAACTGTCATAGGTCCAGAGAATGGCAAGTAAGTTCTATGAAGACAGAATGAAGAATGTTTAGTGTTGTGAAGAGTTGCCAGAGGAAGGCTGTAACAGCATTCATCAAGAAGCTCACAAAGAATGCTAACATCTGTTTTCTATCTCAGACTGAGAGACATGCAAACAGTGGGTTTAAGGCAGATTCTATTTGAATGTTCTGAAAAATTTGCTAACACCAACAGCAGTTCAGCAATGGATCTAATTAGCCCAGGAACTGGAGGGCGTCCCTTCATCTAAAGGAGATGCTTTAATTTGAACTTCTGCACAGAGTAGAAAATTGGAATTCATGGCTTCAGTGGCTCCTTCCAATTCCACAATTCTAAAGGAAGCTAACCAACCTGGCCTTCTTTTATCATAAATTGCTATTTTGAACTGGCCCAAGATGAAGCTTTAAAAAATTCTGGATCTCATTCCAGGAGTCCTCCTGGGCTTTGGCATGAGGCTTCATTTCCCCTCCCCACTGGAATGGCAAGGGATAAAACCGAACTGGATAGGCATAGCAAACTGGAGATCCGGGAGGTTCTATCTGATGTCCAGCCCCTGGATAAGACAACAGGCTACAATGAATTTTCCCATATTTCTTTGCTCGGGTCAGGGCTGCTTCAGTAAACCCCTTGCTATGGAAGCTTTGGTCAGCTTCCCCCACTACAAAGAGGATGTGCCCATGAGCCTTTTCCACAGGGATGATAGATTCTTCAGATGTTTCATCCAGAGGATGTCCCAAGGAATGGAAAGAGGACATCACTCCCATTTCATTAAGGAGAATCTTCTCTAGTCGGTAAGGAACTGCAGGGATCTTGACATCATGAAAGTGGAGTGGTGTACCACTCATTTTTGTTGGACCATTGATGCACACTGTAGCCAGTATTTCCTTTAAGAAGGTACCCATGGCCAATGCAATTTCTCCTCCTTTGGACAAACCAATGACTCCAAGTCCTGGACCTCTTACCTGGAGGAGCAAACACACATAGACATACACAGGTTTAAGCATTTTCTTCTTTAAAAGAACAATGAGGGATGGTGATACCAAAGTTATAAAAAAGAAAAAAGAAAAAAGTCTCTTTGTGCACATACTGTATTATTTCAGATCTATGCATTCAAAAATAAAGGCTGGTCATCTTCTTTTCCTGCCAGCCAGCCAATACATGACAAGAAAATATGGCAGAAGGAGGAAGCAAGCAAGCCTGAAAAAAAAGTTGCTGCTTTTATGAATCAGATCATTAAAGCAGTGCACTTTTAGTATGACTCTTAAAGCATCTGCATGTTTTTTGATACACACAGGAAAGCCTAAGAAAAGATTTGGGTGCTTTAACGGAGACGGAGGGGATGTGTGTGCCACTGAATGACAAAAGCAGCATTGAAGTGCCAGCCCTGCACCTTTTTATATGCATGTGAGCACATATAAAAGGGGCAGGGCTGGCAACGTAATGCTGCTCTTATCGTTCCGCCCACAGGGCTGACGCAACTGACCCGCGCTGTGCTTGTGTCAGGTCAGAAGGCTCCTAGCTTATTATTTTTGATGCATGCACAGTCCCAGTTTGGATGAAGTATTCTGGATAGCGAAGAGAGGATAAACTCTAGGATCTTTCCTGAGTCTCAACATGAAGTTTAAGAAAAGATACGACCTCGGGCATACCTTAGGATGCTTTAAGAGTAGTCTGGATGCTTCCTCAAAATATTCCAAATCTACTACATCCAGCCTCTGTGGCAGATCATCGTATGCAAAGAAAGCCAAAGCCAGAACTGCAAAGCCTTTACTAGCGAGTAAGCCAGCTCGGAATTCGATCAGTCCTCCAGCTCCGCCAAACATGTCGATCAGTCCTGGCACCGGCCCGGGGCCTGGTGAGGCAGAGGGGGGGGGGGGGAAGCAGGATAAGTGAGCAAATGAAAAATGAAGAGTAATATCCCTTATCAAATATAATATTACCTTCTCTGGCTTGGAAACAATGTTTCTAATGATGTCTAGAACTGCATTTGCCTTTTTTATTTTATTTTTTTTGCAGCCACGTCATACTGTTGACTCAAATTTAGTTTTCACTCAGCTGCTGTTCCAAAATCCTTTTCACAGATCCTGTTACCAAGCCATGCATCTCGCATCCTGTCTGTGCAGCTGATTTGTTTCCAACATGAAGGACTTTTCATTGTCTCAATTAAGCTGCTTTCTGTCCATTTTTGGTCCATTTCTCTAAATGACTACGTTCATATTTGGTTTTATTTTTATAGGGCATCAGCTATTTCACCTAATTTTGTGTCATCTGCAGATTTGAAGAATGTTCCCTCTGCCTCTTCATCAAAGACATTAATAAAAAATGTTGAAGAGTGCAAGGGCCAGCTGAAGTTTGTGGCACTGAATTCAATATCTCACTTCAATTTTATGAAGAACGATTATTAAGTGAGCACTCTTTCAGTATGATTTTTGAATCACTATATATCCAAATTGACATGCCACAGTCATCCAGCTTGCTGATGAAATGTCATAGGTATTTTGCCAAATGCATTGATGAAATCTTGCTGTACAGTATTGTACTGTATCTACAGCATTTTCACAATTTATGAAAGAAGTTAATAGAAAATAGTCTGATCCATGTTAACTTATAATGGTGTGGTCTATGAATATTGTAAATCAATACAACTGTGCATAAATAAATAAACTTCAAATATTTTTTTTCAAGGTGCTAACAAGTCAGTTGTTTCATGATCTGCTCTAGAATCTTCCCAAACATTGATGCCATATTGATTGGTTTGTAGTTCCCCAATTCCTTCTTTCTGAAGACAGAGGCAACATTTTTGCCCTCCTCTAGTCAATTGGTACTTCACATATTCTCCAAGATTTTTCAAAAATAATTATTTGGCCAGACCATCAGCAAGTTCTTTCAATGTCCTAGGAACCATCTAGGCCAGAAGATCTGAATTCCTTTGAAGTCAGTACATGTTCCCTGACTATGTTCCTGTCAATGGAATGCATATCCTCTTCTCAGAGACGATTGAGCCAAAGTATAAGAGGAGTAGTTCTGTCTTTTTTTTGTCATACTTTATCCTTTCACTACTTTCACAGATCAGCTCACATATTATTTTTCTTCCTGTAATGGAAGGCATGTGTGAGGAGGATACTGGAATGGAAGATCAAGGCTATCAGGAGGGAGGGAGTCCATTCCAGGAGAGGGCACAGAGCAAGCGCTTTCTCAGCCCGCAGCAAGACCATGAGAAGAAGATTAAGCTAGCTCCTTCCTAGAGTCTCATGGGGTATATCCACTAGTTGCTTTAGCATAGATTTAGTCTGGTGAGATTCTGTCTTTAAGGTGTAAGCTCATAAAGGAA